TGTGTGTGTGTGTGTGTGTGTGTGTGTGTGCGTGTAGAGATCAAAGCAGTACCTGTCACAGCATTAGCAAATACTGAGGAAGTGTGGCGCCCATGAGAAATACCGTAAAGTTCAATATCATAGCTTGTGTCATCCATCAGGTTTGTGAATGTTGTGTTTCGAACCTCTGCAGACAGCCTGAGCTCCAGTGTGTCAGACTGCTGCTCAGAGTCACTGACTCGGACAACAAAGCCATCAAAGTGACCTGACTCAGTGCTCCAGTACAAGCTGAGGTTATGAGGGCTCGTAGATGAAGCAGCTATAGGCCCCAACTGTGGGACGTCCTCTGAACAAGAGAAGAACAGGACTTTTCAGTTTCTTTGTCCTGATGGCACGTTGTGACTGGTACATGCAGTGTCACAAAATCCCAGTAAATGTGATACCTGTTGTAGCTACAGAGAACAGAGGCGGTGTGTTCTGACCATCAACTTCACTGGCATAAAGTTTGATGTTGTAGCTCGTGTTAGCTTTGAGCCCGGCCATGACTGTGGAGTGAACGTCTCCTGGCAGAGTGCGCCCCATTGCCTGCGAGGGCAAAGCAGACTCTCTGACTTCTACTACAAACTGATCAAACTCTTTCTCTCCTGTTCGCCACGACAGACAGAATCTGTCTGAGGTAATGTTAGAAACAACTAGCTTGAACAAATCGGGCTCTTCAGCTAAAAAGGAAAGAAAAATAAAGTAAAAAATGTATGTATGTTTTTAAAGTTCAGAGCATGCATGCAAGTACAAATGTCTAGAGTAAAAGGCTCGGTACAACCCCAGTTCTGAAAAAGTTGGGAAGCTGAGTAAAATGGACACAAACAGAATTCAATGCTATGCTAATCTCATTTGCAGGCTATATTGTAACCACAATGGAACATAGTAAATGTTAAATAAAATTTTACCATTTTGGAAAAAAAAATAAAAAATAACATTTATATGTTGAGTGTGGCCTGATTTGTGTCTTTGTGTCATGTGAAGGTGTGATGGATTGAGTACAAACCATCAGGGTGGCAGTAGGTGCCTTTTACAGTATCTGTATTTTATTTTTTTATTTTATTTATTCTTTTTTTGCCTAAACAGTGGCAAGCCTGAATGAAAAGATGACAGGATGAAATAGAAATGAAATACTTTTTGCATTTTTAAAATGTAAGAAGTACAAATAATTGCATGAAAATGTAAGAAGTAAAAGTAAAATGTTGGCTATAAAATAACTAGATCCCACATAGCAGCAACATAATGACCCCCGCACTCACAAATGCACCAGAACTCAGAAGTCTTTATTCCTAATAAATGTCATGCTACTAGGTGCATCCCAAAATCATAGTGGTTTGGGTGGGGGTGGGGGTGGGGGGCGTTGGTTGACCTGATGGATAGCCCCTCATCAGAGCTAAACAACAAAAGAAATCTGAAGCTCCTATGTTTAATAGTTTTTGAGCTATACTCATTTTTGTTTGTCCAGATACCACTTTTTCAGATAAATTGGGAGTCCGGGGGATTGGGGTGGGGGGGCGTCTGATTGGTGGGCCTGATGGATAGAGCTTCATCAGAGCTAAACAACCAAAGAAAATCTGAAGCTCCTATGTTGAACAGTTTCTGAGTTATAAGCATTTTTGCATGTCAGACACCCCCACTTTGAAAGGAGCCCCCTCCTCAAATATGGGGTCTAT